AACCACTGAAAAGCTTTTGTGAGAAAAATAAGCAAACTTTAAACAGCGCAGTGCCACATACCACTTAGAAACAGGTCAGGTTCCTATATAAAGAAAGCCTGCTTTTGCTAAGGAGTGAGTATCTGGGAAACGAAGCATCTACCCTTTTCTGATGTGCAAACAACAGTGTAGTAACTGTTTGCTTTTTGTGAAAAAATTTCCTGGATTTTTTATTTTTCAAGGAACGAGGATAGGCCTGGATGTGACCTTTTACCACTTGTAAAATAATGTGCAAAAGAATGAAGAGTCTTGCTCAAAACAACTCTTGTGTGGAACAAAATATAAATCTTCTAAAAAGAGATTAATCTGAAACTTAACAGCTCTGACTGGGTTAGGAATTTTTTAAAGTTTCCCACACTCTCTTACATTTTCGCTATACAGGAAAAAGTAAATAAAACTATTTCATGGCAGTGATATACATATATTTATTTGTTTAGCCAGATGATTTAGAAAATATTTTGTTGTTGTTGTGTGTTTTCAAGTAATTTTCAACTGATGGTGCCCTTTAAGGTGAACCTATCATGAGGTTTTCATGGCAATTTTGCAAGTGCAGAAAGGAGTAAACCACAGACCACTTACTACAATGCATCCTGAGCCCTGCCACATACATAATGGAGGACCTTCTTACAGCGACTCCAGAGGCACTCCAAGTGGCCAGCTTCTGCTCAAAGGACATTTAGTATAATGCCAAGTTTAACTTTGTTTGTGTTTTTAAATACATTATAATTGTACCCCCAATTTACTTCTGACATGATAAATAAATAAATATGGCAATTTTGCTCAGAGTGGGTGTGCCATTGCCTTCTGAGGCTGAGTATCACTCAGTGGGATTCTGTGGAACAATGGGGAAACTAGGTATTTTCCGATCTTTAAAAAATATTACAATCAGAATCACTGAGCTAGAAGAGACCTCATGGGCCATCCAGTCCAACTCCCTGCTAAGAAGCAGGAAAAGATTCAAAGCATCCCCAAAATCCCATTGGCTTTGTTTGCCGCAGCATGACATTGTATTAGGTAACTCGGCTTATTTTAATGTGTAATTTAAACTATATAAGGTTGAGCATCCCTTCACCAGAAATCCAAAATACTCCAAAATGTAAAATTGTCCACATGGGTGGCTGGAATAGTGAACTATTTGCTTTCTGGTGGCTTCATGCACAAAATTATTAAAATAATGCTTATAAACTACTTTCAGGCTTTGTCTATAAGGTGTAAATGAAACGTAATTGAATTTTGTATTTAGTATTGGATCCCATTTCAAAGATATCTCATTAAGTATGTATAAGCAAACACAGACTCATTAGTGTAATTGGACTTCTCAGTTTTACTCACCAAACATTCGACCTAATGGATATAAGATTGCTATCACAAATACATTTGGCTTTCCCGTTACTCACTATGTCTTTGAATACGGGCAGACTGCTAAAAGAGTGCTGGTGCCTTACCAAACCACAAGTCTGATGATCCTGCAATATTTAGCCATGGCAATTAAAGTGGCATCAAACTGCATTAATTCTGCTGTGTAGATGCACCTAAAGGCAACTTAACAAATGTTCTGACTCTTTAAGATAGTGGTGAACAACGATTTTCCTCCAGATGTTGTTGACAACAGTTTTCACTATTCCCCATTACCACTCACTACATGTTTTGAACAACAATTCCCATCAGTCCCAATTAGGTGGTCACTTGAACCCTATGTCAACTCATACAAAGCTTCCCTGACTTGTTTGTTTGATTTCTTATAAGTATACTGTTAGTTTGAATAAAAGATTTGCTAAAACACATTGAACAGAACTTCTTTTTTGTGGTGTAAGAATCAATCAGAGAGCCGATGTGGGGTTGTGGTTTGAGCATTCACCTTGGGCTGTAACTTTGGAGACCAGGATTTAAATCCCCACTTGGTTACATGAACTTGGGCACTGTTGGTGGAGTACAAGTCCCACTCTCTCAGTCTCAGAAGACAAGGACAACCTGACTGAACAAATCTTGCCAAGAAAACCATTCAATAGGGTCACCATAGGTTCTCAATATATTGCAAATGACTACAAGGCACATCTCAAAGAGCCTATCCCTATTATTTCCATGTTATATCCACCTTTGGTTCTCCAAGAAAGCATCTATTTTGTTAACTGACTGTATTGTCAATTAAAGTATCTAACAATGATGAAGATTTAATGTAGGGATATGAACTGTGTTTCTCTCTGAACAATGTTAAACAATGCTTCCCATCATCCTTTTAACTATTCTAGTTACAGCTGAAGTAATTCAAAATAATCTGATCCCTGGTTTGAAAGTTGATGTTGAACATGTGTTTAACATTCAGTATTTTAAGCACTTGCGCCACTAAGGTTTTTGACTAAAAGCCTTCAGAAGATAATTAAAAATGCAGCCCATGGTAATATCCAATAATTGAAATGGCAAAGAGAAAGAAAAATCAAAACATTTTGTGTGTTTGTTTATTGGAGCTACTGAAGATACCACCCAGCTGGGGTGTCTTTCTTTGCTTAGAGGGGAAAGCAGCATGTTCCTCCAATAGATAATTACCTTTTTAATGTTTCAGTTTAGATTACGAGGCAGGCATTTAGTTTAGTTTTGAGACCAAAAGAAAAAAAAAGCCAGCACGTCCTATCTCCCTTCTGCAGAGGTGTTTTGCAGTTTTCATACAGATTTTTTTTATGATAAGTATTAAATATGACCTAGTTTGTTTAAATACTATGTCAGTCTCTTACTGAGCATGATTCAGAGCACTGATACTAACCTTTAAAGCCTTTAAACGGCTTGGGGTCTAACTGCCTCCCTCCCTCCAGCCAAAGACTGTCCAACTGTTATGATCATAATCATGGTAGTCCCAAGACCTTTTGCTTTCTGAGCGAGACCTTTCAGTCAAGATACAGATATATATAAAGATGGTCAAATTATTTTGGCATCTGGAGCAGAAAATCACTTTTCCTGGTCCCAGACAATTTAGTAGCAGCAGCAGTAGATATTAAGAAGGAAGAGGAGGAGATGACAGAGGATGAAGAGGAGGAGAAGGGGAAGGAAAAGGAAGAAGAAAAGAGAGAGGAGAAACATTATGGAAAGTGAAGCATCTATATAAGGTGCTAGATTAAGCATTGGCAAACTTGGGCCCTCCAGGTGTTTTGGACCTACCGGTTGTTAGGAATTGTGTGAGTTGAAGTCCAGAACATTTGGAGGGCCCAAGTTTGCCCATGCCTGTGTTAGATGCTACAAGACTATTTTATCTGAGCAACATATTTTAGGCTCACCCTCAAAGACTACCCAGATCAGCATCCTGAGACATTTTGCCCCCCATAGCATTCTAAGGCTGTTCTTCTCTCAAGTAAGTAAAGGTAAAGGTTTCCCCTGACATTAAGTCTAATCATGTCCTACTCTGGGGATTGGTGCTCCATTTCTAAGCCGAAGAGCCAGTGTTGTCTGTAGACACCTCCTAGGTCATGTGGCTGGCATGACTGCGTGGAGTGCCATTTCCTTCCTGCAAAAGTGGTGCCTATTAAACTACTCACATTTGCATGTTTTCGAACTGATAGGTTGACAGAAGCTGGGCCTAACAGTGGGAGCTCACACCACTACCCAGATTCAAACTGTCAACCTTTTGGTCAGCAAGTTCAGCAACTCTGTTAACTTTTCTTCTACCCTATACTCCAGGCATGGGCAAACTTTGGCCCTCTGGGTGTTTTGGATTTCAACTCTCACTAGGCTATTAGGAATTGTGGGAATTGAAGTCCAAAACACCCGGAGGGCCAAAGTTTGTTCATGCCTGCTATTCTCTACTACTTTAGCAGCACTGTGAATGCCCCCATTTGCTGTTGGAGTGCAACTTACAAGATTTTTCACCATGCTATTTATTTTGGTTCTTTGATTTCATTAATTTACTGCTTTTAGACATTTCTAGTAGTTGTCATTCAGCAGCATTTGGAGCTGCACTATTCCCAGCCCTGCTATATACCCTTCACATATTTTAATGGGAATTTGCCACTCCATGTGGAAAATTGAGGGATATAGAGCAGAATATAAATAAAGTATTACTACTACTACTACTACTACTACTACTACTACTACTATTGATTGCCAAAGATCTGGCAATCTGTGTATGTTATTTATTGCTGGAATGTATATCCTATTCTTTAAATAATTCCCAGAGCATCTCCCCATGAACAATTCCCTTTGACAGTTTAGATGTCCCTCCTCTCAATCACATTTCAATCTCTCTCATTTTTAATTGAAAAAGGAGACACTGATTATCATGGCCATTGACTTGCTTAATGGTAGAGCCAATACTGATTCAGGTCAGTTGAATTAGGATTGCAAAGAGCTTCTCCAAGGAGAATGTCCTTTCCAGGTAGGCTCACTTTCCACCTAATCAGATGTCTACGGCTTCAGGAAAGAACTTTCTTTGTGCCCAAGCTTTCTATCATAGTATTTCACAGCTTTTTGTCCTCCCCCAGTCATTCAACTGAAGGCAAGAGTTGACAAAGCTATCCCAGAACATGACCTTACGAACAGTGCGCTGCTCTTTCATAAGTGGCTATCCCATTTTGCCTAATGATAGAGCCATTAGACTGTACTACTAAGAACCCAAAACGTCTAAGATTCTTATTAAATATAATTTTGAAATTTGTAAAGGCAAATACCTACTCAGCTATTGTATTTTGTATCTTCTTCAGTTCTGACACCCTTCTAGATGTGTGTGATTTGTGAGGCAGTTCATACAGTATGTGAAATGTAAGCAGAGGAAAGATTATCGGGGGCATTATATTTTGGTTGGCTGAAGCCCAAAGACTGTCAGATCATTTCTGACAGTTTTTCTTCTCCTTTCAGATGAGAGATGTTTAAGAAATCTGCTGTCATTATTTTTGACTTATTTAATGACTTGACTGATGCTTTAAAAATAATGTAGTGTTTGGAGTCCATCACTCATTTTTCATTTTATTTCTTGTCAGTAATACGTAGGAATCCATTTGGGATGGACATCTGTTGCCGGAAGGGGTCACGAAGTCCCCTGCAGGAACTCTACAACCCAACCCAGGTGAGTCTTTATAGTGCTGCAGCAACAATTGTACACACAGCTCACGCAGACACCTCCATTCCCTTTCCCTCCCTTGAAACATTTTATACTTCATAATGCAGTGCATTAAAACAACAGAAAAGCTTTGCCCTTCCCTTGCAAAATGATGTTGCTTATCTGAGAGCTCCAATGAATTCTTATCTTCTTTGGAGAAGGAAATGCTGAAGAGATAACATATATACACACAACACATCTTAGTCTTTTAATGCTATTTTTCTTTCAGGATATTATTTGCAGGCAACCTGCTGATATCTGAAATACTGCAAGAAGACCAGGGAATTTGTAATGGCTCCCAACTGTAACTAGAGTTAGGAAAAATACTGTAATTCCCCAGAATCCTCCTACTAGCGGGGCAGTTAATGGGCGAGACTAGAAAATGTCATCCAGAAAAAGTAATATTGTTAAGATTTGATTAAAAGATGGATGTCCTTGTGCACCTAGTATTCAGGCACTTCTTAATTTAAACAAAATGTGGTTTCTGCAGTGCACCAACCATCTATTTTCTGTTATATCTTTAAAGGAGGAATATGTATGTGATATAAATGCTTCCCCTTCAAGAAGTACAGAAAATGCAAAGTTTGACATTGTGAGACACATGTATTTTCTTTAACATGTAAAGCATATGGATGATGACTGGAGTTATGGACTTGATTAGGCATCAAACTCTATGTGATAAAGAATATTTTTAGAGTTTGGACAACAAAAATTCACACATACTAGTTCAGAATCAGGCTAGTAGGAAATCTATCCTTTGTAGATGTGGTCGAATCCCCATTTTCCATTAGTCCTGGAGAAGCTAAACAATGACAGGCATTTTGGGAGTAGTAGTTCACCAGGACCATATTCCCCATTCCCAAGTCAGGAAAAAAAAAGTACATATACCACTCATACTCACAGAACTGGTATCAATGGTTTCATTTATTCGCAATGAACAAAATATGTCTTCTCAAGTCCATTTCTAGGTCCTCAGACACAACTTTATGGTATTTCAGGGCTAGAAATTCTGTTTCAATTTAATTCAATACATTCCATGTATACTTTATCCACATGGAGTCCAGGAACATATCTCCCAAAGATATAGGGGCAGTACTCTATTCAAGTGGGTAACATTTCCCTATTGCTTTGTGCTGGTGCTCTTCCAAACTGTTTATAGTGAATACCAAAGATGTTGAAGTTGTTTGCAATTTATAAAGTAGATTTCAAAGTATGTATGTATGTATGTATGTATGTATGTACGTTTAAAATGCAGTAGCTATGTGCCGAGTCTAATGTATTCCTGTGTGGAAAGAGTTAACTGAACCATGGAGGGAACGGCATTCCTAGAGAGGTCATAAATCAAGTGTATAGAACAAATGGACCCAACGTCATATGCCATACGTCACTCTGGAATGCAAGAGGTGTGGATTAGTACTGATAATCGTTAGTGTGTTTGCAATGTTACGATCGGACGGTAAAGAAGCAAGTTTATGATGTGCTGAGTGTTATGTAGCTTTTAATGTATATAGCTGTAAAATAAAGTAGTTTATAGCCTATAGTGGCTGTGATTGATCTATTCCTGCCTTGCACAGATCCCACCATGATCATAGTCAATGTATTACTGCCCATCTTTTCTTTGTGGTGATAGCTTAGAGCAGGCGTGGGCAAACTTCGGCCCTCAATTGGCCCTTCAATTGGCCCTCCAATTGTGGAAATTAAAGTCCAAAACACCTGGAGGGCCAAAGTTTGCCCATGCCTAGCTTAGAGGTACAACTGTAATTGTGTTCAAATGGTGAAGAAGAATCCAGGATACATGTCTACATGGCTAGTTTTACCTCCACATAATGGAACACATGTGTCAGGATGTTTTCAAGTGTCCGCATCTGAATCTCTTTCCTTTAATGTCCCAATGAGCTTCTATTTTGTGGCAAAGTTGGTATATTAGTCCGGACATAGCAGCACTCCCATTTACCAGTGCAGGGGAAGTACTGGAAGAAAAGGAAAAAAATACCAGCCCAACCATTAAACATATTTATTAAGGTTTAACAGCTGCCTGTTATATATTTATTCCATAATGAATCACATTTTGTGAAACTCGGTCAGCTATTAAGGGAAGTGACTCGTAATAAATCTCACTCATTAGATTTAATAAGCCACTAAATGATACAAATCTGACTTGATTATGGAAAGAATCACAGCAAGGCTTGCCAATTGAGTTCCTCCAAGCGATTCCCATTTTTCCCCCAGAAAGGACCAGTGACAGGTGAGAGATGTGTATTCACTATGATATGGGAATGTCTTTGCTCTTGCTTTTTGGGATGTTTTTGCCATGCATTCTGCTGCTAATGTCAGCTCACTAAACAAGTCACCATTTTACTGAAGGAAATTAGGAAGGGGTTTGGAAGAATGTCATTTTTAGAGTTTCCAGTTAGTCTTGCTAACTGGAAATTGTGCATAAAATGTTCAGTGAGAAGAAAGTTAGCTTGCCAAAAAGGGGGAAATAATAAAAGCTCAAAATGATTGCTGAAGAAGTAAACTTTACTCTCTCTGAATTACCACCTCTGAGGTTTGCTGGAAATGTTCAACGTGTGCTTGCTACTTTTCTGTCTCTGTTTCCATAGGTCATGGAGTAAGATAAGAACATACAAAAGTCATCCTGGTGTTTGTAAGGGGCTTCTGCCCTTCTATTTACGAGCCCCACTCAGTGCAATACAGTCTCCTTCTCCTCCTTTTCCATTGCTAGATACGTTTTGACAAAATATTCTGCATTAGGATTCTTTCCACATCTTCCTCTTGGAAGGAGCCAAGTAGAGTCAATGTTTGAATAAGGCCAGAGTTTCTCACAGCCGCTGTTGGGCTAAGCGAATGACGTTTTTCACACATAAAGAATCTCCATCAGTACACTGGCATCTTCTGTTCGTAACGCATTAAGGGCAGGGCAAGAAGTGGTATTGGCTGGAAGGGAAAGAGGAAAAGAAAGACTCAGCCTCACATTCAGCTGCCTTTTGGATGGCATTTGTATATGTATAAGGGGCATGGCATGGTAGTATTCCGGCATACGCTGTACTGTTGACATTCACAGTTCATTTCAAAGGAGAGAAAATAGCAAAGGAACACTGGGCAGAGGAGAGAGGTGAAGTGAGGTGAAGTAGGTTAACTTTCTGAATATTCCTGTTGTTGTTTTCATTGTTGTTGAGTGGTTTAGTATTGTGATATTGCATGATTCATAGAGTGGCACAAAACCTTAGATGCTATTTTTAAAAATATCTGCTTTGTCATTAAATGCCAGCGCCAGCCCAAGCCACTTTGCTGCCCAAGGCAAATAACTACCATATATTCCGGCATATAAGATGACTGGGCGTATAAGACGACCCCCAACTTTTCCAGTTAAAATATAGAGTTAAGACAACTCCCATGCATAAGACTACACCCGCGTATAAGACAACCCCTGACTTTTGAGAAGATTTTCTTGGGTTAAAAAGTAGTCTTATACGCCAGAATATACTGTACATACCATTTGCGTTTTCCAGAGTTAATTAGGAAGATGGTAGAAACACTTTTGTCTGGTGGTTTCTAGTGGCTCTGCTGCAAGTGAGGTGATGAATCACTTTGGATTTTAGTATGAACTTTAAAAGAGCTGTCCAAGTGGCTGAACCCATCTCAGTAATAGTGCCCAGCTCCTTGGACAATTTTATTAAGTTCTGAATTAAAACCCAGGATAGATTCTCCTCCAAATTCACACAGGAGCCACCAGTTGAAACTGTTTATGATTTGTTGTTTCTTGTTTATTCATTCAGTCACTTCCAACTCTTCATGACCTCATGGAGCAGCCCATGTCAGAGCTCCCTGTTGGCCATGGCCACCCTCAGCTCCTTCAAAGTCAAGCCAGTCACTTCAAAGATACCATCTATCTATCTTGCCCTTGGTTGGCCCCTCTTCCTTTTTCTATTCATTTTCCTCAGCATCATTGTCTTCTCCAAGTTTTCCTGTCTTGTCATTATGTGGCCAAAATACTTCATTCAGCTTTGCTTCTAATATCCTTCCCTCCAGTGAGCAATCGGGCTTTATTTCCTGGATTATGGACTGGTTGGACCTTCTTGCGGTCCAAGCACTCTCAGAATGTTCCTCCACACCATAGTTCAAAAGCATCTGTCTTCCTTCACTCAGCCTTCCTTATGGTTCAGCTCTCACATCCATAGGTTACTACTGGGAATACCATTGCTTTAACTATGCGGATATTTGCTGCTAGTGTGAAGGAATATAAATACTGTAAATAAATAAATAAATAAATTTCCTGGCTGCAGTCTGCTTATGACAGGATAGCACTTTCTACTTCTGAGAAAGAAGTGGACAAGCTTAGAAAAAGCAGTGCAAGTTAGCCGATGGCATTTGGGGGAATTGGTGAATCTTGTTAACTATCATACAAGTATGCATTAGAGGCCACTGGGCAAACCTTAGAATCACACGGTTAGGAGGGACCACAAGGCCCATCTAGTCCAATCTCCTGCTGTGCAGGAATATTCATCTAAAGATTCCTGAAACATGGCCATCCAGCCTCTGCTTGAAGACCTCCATCTTTGTAGTCCACTACATTCTGACATAATCCATGCCACTGTTGAACAGCATTTATAGTCAGGAAGTGGTTCCAGATGTAAGATGAATCACTTTTCCATTGGTTTGTGTCCTAGTTTCTGAACCGGTCAAAAGTATGTTTGCTCCATCATCTACATGGTATTCCTTAATATCACAACACAATCTTCTCTTCTTCAAGCTAAAGATAACCAACTAGTTTAACATTTTCTCATAGAGCTAGTTTTCCAAAGCTATGATGATCTTGGCCATCGTCAGACATGTTCCAACTTGTCAGTATCCTTCTTGAACTATGTGTTACACAGTACTGGACACAGTATTCCAGGTGAAGTCTGACCAAAGCAGAATAAACTGTACTGTTACTTCCCTCAAATCTGGACACTATGTTCATGTTG